CCTGGTCTTTTTTTTTTTTTTTTTTAATGATTTTGAGTTTTGTTCCACATTGTTCTCCCACTCTATCCAGGATCTCCTACATAGATGCTCCTTCGAATGGTTGACAGTGGTAGCTGGACACCATCTAGTTCTTCTGGTCTCATAGTTATATAGGCTGAGGATTGCATGGTGTACCAGTTGATTAGACTAATTGTTTCCATGCATCTTTAGTTTTCTTCATTCTTCTTTGCTCTAGACGAGGAGAGACCCATTGTTGCATCTAGATGGCCACTTGCAAGCTATTAATATCCCAGTCGCTACTCACCAAAGTAGGATGTGCAAGTGTTTTTGTGTAGTATGTTGTTGCCAAATGAGCTTGATGTCCCCTGCAACCATGGTCCCAAGCCCACAGGTCCAACTACTTGCTCCTTCTGGGTAGCTGGCTGATGCCAAGAAGTGACTACAACTTTGTCCCTTGTCAGCCATACTATATACCTGGAAATTCTTACAGAACATACAAATATGCTTGAAATAACATTGGAACCTGGACTCATTTTCACTCCTCTCCTCCCTAACTTCCCACCACTACTTCCACCTCCACATCTAATGAACTACCTGTCCTCCCCATTCCAGTTTTCGAAGTCTGGAGTTTTTTGTAAATTCCTCTGCCATCTATTAAATGAGGGATCCTTATAGCTTTTGTTTCTATCTGAAATATAAAACTTAAATGATCTCTCTGCCTTTAATCACAACCTCTTCTGTCCCAGTTTCCCAGCAGTGCTAAAGTAATCTTTCCAATACACCTAATTGTGCCAATCAAGGTGCTCCCCAAAGGTGAACCCCCATGGCTTCCCTTCACCTACCCAAAAAAAGCTTCAACCCTGCATCCATGCCCTCCTCACTCTTAGGCCCAACTGACTTTATCCTCATCTCCTACCACAATTACTTTTGGCTAAATCAGGCTTAACTCTTCCCCACAGCTGCTCTCTATTCCTCTCCATACCTTTACTAATTGCCTTCATTGGGACTGGAATGCCACTTTTCAATCCTGCTTCCTCAATGACTCCTGATTTCTTGCACCTTCTATGATCTAGATGCAGGCTCTTCCTCTGATCTATCAGAATACAAAATTATGTGTTATTTCTTATGGGGTTTTTGTTGTTGTTATTGTTGTTGTTGTTTTAACTCAAGGACTTAGGCTCAGTTACATGGTTGTTGTTGTAGTTGTTAAGTGCCACTGAAGCAATTCCAACTCATAGTGATCCTACATACAACATAACAAAACACTGCTCAGTCCTGTGCCATCCTCACAATTGTGGCCGTGCTTGAGCCCATCATCATACCCCTGTCAATCCATCTCATTGAGAGTCTTCCCCTTTGTTTTGACACTCTACCAAGCATGATATCCTTCTCAAGGGTTTGATCCCTTCTGACAACATGGCCAAAGTATAAGAGACAAAGTCTGGCCATCCTTGCTTCCAAGGAGCATTCTGGCTGTACTTCCCCCAAGACAGATTTGTTCACTCTTCTAGCAAGCCATGGTACATTCAATATTCTTCACCAACCCCACAATACAAAGTCATAAATTCTTCTGTGGTCTTCCTTATTCATTGTCTACCTCTCACATGCAAATGAGACTACTGAAAATACCATGACTTGAGTTAGACACAGCTGAGTCTTCAAAATGACATCTTTGCCCCTTAACATTTTAAAGAGGTCTTTTGCAGCAGATTTGCCCAATGCAATATGTGATTTGATATCTTGACTGCTGCTTCCATGGATGTTGATTGTAGATCCAAGTAAAATGAAATCTCTGACAACTTCAGTCTTTTCTCCATTTATCATGATGTTGCTCATTACTCCTGTTGTGAAGACTTTTTCATGTTGAGGTGTAATTCATACTGAAGACTGTAGTCTTTTATCTTCATCAATAAGTGTTTCACATCTTCCTCACTTTCAGCAAGCAAGGTTATCATCTGCATATTGTAGGTTGTTAATGAGTATCCCTCCAATCCTGATGCCACGTTCTTCTTCATGTAGTCTAGTGTCTCAGATTATTTACTCACTATGCAGAGTATAGTGAAAGGATAGAACCCTGACCCACACCTTTCCTAATTTTAAACAATGCAGTGTCCTTATTTGGTTCGAACAACTGTAGAAGTTCATCATGAGCATAATTAAGTGTTCTGGATTTCCCATTCTTCACAATGTAACTTATAATTTGTTAACAATCCACAGAGTCAAACAACTTTGCACAGTCAATAAAACACAGGTAA